TTGATGGCAAGCGGTAGCAAAAAATGGCTAACAACCCTCACAGGACCAAGTTTAAAATTCTCCAACATGTGTGTACTTCTTTTACGTTATACACCTGATCCAAACTACGAGATGTGCGAATTATCCGCTTCGACGTCTACAGCTTTCCCATTTTGAACGCCCAGATGCTTTTGTAGGTCACAAGGAAGGTCGGTGAACGGAAGCTTTTGACCTATATTTACTGCCAAGCTTAACTTGCAACTTCAAGTTAGCATAGCGCGAGAAAAGTAAAAAACATTGTTCTTATTTCTTGTCAATATAAATACTCCTGATTAATCTTCGCACAGACTTGTTTTAAACCTTCAGTTCTAGTCCAGTAGTACTGCACTATTTTCCTTTTTTCTTCCCACCTCACTGGCGAGGATGTCAGTAATTTCCGTCGGTCTGTTTGTCCGCCTGTCTCTCCGCTAACCCTTGGACCGTCTATAACTTATGAAGTACGTCTCTCTTGTTTTAATAAAATTTTTACACAGTCTTAGGCGTTAGCTTTTTTATATGCTTCTAATCCCGATAATTATATTCATCTATTTCACAAATCATTGATTTCCCCGTACATTTGCTGTTAAAACTTGGAGAAAGAGAGAAATATTTTTAACACACACGGCAAGGGTAGTCATTGCAACGTTGCCAGATGGTCGATACTGTCCGTAGAGCAGGGGAGAAATTTCCTGATTGCAACTTTGTCAACTGGGTAAGGAATATGAGCTGATTGTGTGGGGTTGTTTGACTGACTTGATTCATTTTTGTTTTTTTGTTATACAGTGTGCGTCATCTATTACTTTTTTTTCTATTTGAAAGATCAACACGCTTTTGAAATCGAATGTTTTTATTGATAAATGAAGGTTAGTTTATGCCATTTATGTATGAAAAATAACATCAGTCATGTGACCACCGAGGCTTCGTTTACATGCCAACATCCGAACATCAAAATTTTCAATGACTTTTCCCAGAATAATCGGGGTTATGGCCGCAATTTCAGTCCGAATATTGCGCTTTAGGTCTTGAATTGTCCGGGGACTTTTCGCATACACTTTTCCTTTCAAAAATCCCCAAAGACAATAGTCAAGAGGTGTTAAATCGCGCGATCTCGGGGACCAACTGACATCTGAATTTCGTGAAATTATGCCGTCTTGAAATTTCGTGAGCAATAAGGCGCTTGTTTGGCGAGATGTCTGAGCCGTTGCTCCGTCTTGATGAAACCAAAGATCGTCGGCACCAATACGATCCAACTGTGGCCACAAAAAGTCTGTTCACATGCCGCGATAACGTTCCCCGTTGACGGTAATGGCCTTTTCTATGGCATCTTCAAAGAGGAATGGTCCAACGATGCCACCAGCCCATAATCCGCACCAAACAGTCACTTTTTCAGGATGGAGAGCTTGTCCATGATATTGGTGTGGATTTTCAGCCCCCCAGAATCTGCAATTTTGCTTATTTACGTACCCATTAAGGTGAAAATGAGCCTCATCAGAAAAGAGCACTTTGGCCGAAAATCCGTCTTCTCTTTCCAACATCCAATTAACAGAAACACGCCGGCTTCAGTTCTTGTGTTTGTTGGATTTTGTATGGATGGAGGTGTAAATCAATGTGTAAAATCCGGCGTAAAGTAGTCTCACTAATTTCCAATTGTCGCGAACGGTGCCTAGTCGAGGTGGTTGGATCTACTCGCACACTTTCACTCACTGCGGCCGTTTTCGTAATAAGTTTGGCTAACCAAAATGCGTTGTTGTGTTGTAAACGAATCCATGACTATAAATGATATATAAGGCTTTTGTTTATTTTCATTCAAATTATCTCATATTTTCTATGCTATTTTATATTTGATCACTTCTGATGATTGCATTTTATGTATTATCTGTGGCTTTCTTCCTTGTTAGCTTTTATTTAGGGTTAAGTAGAGTAGCGTAGGCTAGACTTCGCCCTGTTGCAGATTTCTGCATTGTATATAACAATGCTCAATAAAGACACAATAATAATAATAATAATAATAATATACCTTTGACAGTTCATTTATGCATACCACACATGACTTTTGACTCACATGGTAACACATAAACTTATAGGTAAAAAAAGTAATAGATGGCGCACCCAGTATATGTTCGTAGCTGACCAATTTTTTGAGTACGTCATACAAACCATTTGCTATCGAGTCAGAAATTATTCCTAAACAATTTGCGAAGCGTTTTAGAGAGCTACTTTGATCGACGTTGTGGCAAAAAAGATTGTTTATTAGATACTTGGTGAAACTCACTTGACTATTCTTCAAAGCTAGGGTTTTGTGATACCATGACGTCTAAAATCTCGGCTCTAAAAAATATTTGCTATGGCTTCTTATACTCAGGTGATTTTAGTTTATTTGTTATCCGTGATTTTACTGAACTATTGGGGGTGGTTAATTAACATCTGTTTGTGCAAAGCCGTCACCGGTTCTACAGGATATTTTTTTGTAATGAAAATATGCAGCTGAAGTCTTAGAGCCCGAAAATTATGGTCATAATTATGCTGAAAATTTGCATGGAAAAACTATTGAAGATTTTCTCTACAACCTGTATGACACAAGCAAACAAAATTTCGGAGTAATTCATATGATACGCCTGCGCATTAGAGTAATATTTTCGAATGGACATAACCTTAACGGGGATGACGTCCAATATAATCGCAAAGACAACAGACGTCGATGATTTAAATTTATTTTTGAAATCGAGATCTTGGTTAATATTATAAAACTTCTCAACGCTTGTACTATCGCATCCAGCGCCTGACGCTGCACATTTCTGTTTTTGTAATTGGGTGACTTCACCTTGTACAGGTTTGACCATTTTTGGTACTCCTCCAACAACAGTGTAAAATCTTCCCGATTCCACGACATTATGAATGAACAATAACAATAAACGCTCCTTCGTACGACTCGAACAGGACCACTCCCACAAATGTTAAGTGAGGTTATGTTGTTGTTGTTGTCGTTGACATTTGATATTGACATGCACGGAAATAACCCTCTGCGCCGATTCTCGCGCATATTCTATAAAACGGGTTTTATATTTTTACCATGAAAATTTTCACAAGAATTCTTTCACGTGTAATACGACAGCAAACATTTTCGGCATAATTATGACCATAATTTTAGGAGTAATTCTCTTGTGTGTAAAACGGCTCTTACCGAGGGATGTCTGAGTAACCATGTGGCTGGTACATTTTTAAAATCCTCTGTGGTATGCAAACAACATAACAAATTACTGATAATTTCAAGGCCTACCTAGCAAATTCAGTTTTTTTGAAATAATAAAGGTTTGGCAATGTCAATGTGTCACATATTATATATTTTTGGAATCGGAATTATAAACTCTATTCATCCGTACAAAAACCCAATATGGCGTCCATAAGAAAAATGAAGTTGATGCTGCAGGAAAAGAGACGAAACGTTATATTTAAATTTTAGTTATGCCATTTCATAGAGGAGAAAAAGTGGGAATGTTAATTTGCAATTTATTGCGAAATCCCACTACAAATAAAATCAGGAAAAGAATATTTAGGCACAGTATTTCGATATTTTCATTCTCTTAACAACATTATCAGATGAAAAACAAGTGGTATGGCTTCTAATGAGATCGTACTGGACCGTTGAAAAATCCTCATGCTGATAAAGCGGAATGAGAACGTTATTATTTCAGTACGTGCGAAAATCTATATAAAACAGCATATTATCAAGATTTATGGCTTTGTGGAATCCGCGTCACAGCATTTACTGATAAGATTTCGCCAGGCAGTTGAAAATAAGGAAACAAACATTATAAATGGAGTACTCGCTGTGTCAGTAAACGTTGACAGTAATATCGAAATACGCAGACGCAACATTTGTGTTACATTTCAGACTTAGGTAGCCAAGGTGCTTGAACTTTGTTTTTATGTTACTCAGTAATCCTCGAAAATATCGAAACGTAAACAGAAATTAGGCATTCAAATTAATTAACCAGTTATAGTTTATTGACAGTTAGATTTTATTTTGTATATTATTAACAGTTAAATGACAGAACTTTAAAATTACACCCAAAATACTCTAAGGGACGGTTTGAACTTTTATTTAGTTACTTTTGGAAACCTCAAAAATTAATTAACCAGTTATAGTTCATTGAAAATTAGATTTTATTTTATTTATTAGTAACAATTAAATGACAGAACTTTAAAATTACACCTAAAATAAGGGACGGTTTGAACGTTTATTTAGTTACTTTTGGAAACCTCAAAAATTGTAATTTTTTACAGTTTTTAAAAATTTAAAATGGCGATTTTTAGGGATTTTTAGACTTCAATTTGTTTATAACTCGAAAAAATGGTCAATACAGAAGAGTTGTTAATGATGTTTTTGTTCAGGACGATAAAAAACCTATAAAACCTTGCCCGAAGCGAAAAAAACAATTTTAATTAATTTGTTCAAAAATATTATATGAAGAAATTTGCACCGGGTTACAGCCCGATAACCTATTGATTCACGTTAAGGAGCATCCAACAAGCATGATTATGAGAAAAAAATGAAATCTCCCACGAATGTAAAGCCATCGCCTCGTCTATCGCTACCGATGAAACGTGATCACACACTTCATGTCTGTCAACGTCTGAGAATATAAAATATTTCTCTTATAGGTAATGAAAGCCTACCCTTCATGACAGAGGTAGGTGCTAGTACAATTGTCGTCAACCTTTTCAGTGTGTTAAGCTACTTTAATAATATTGGAATAGGACATACATGTGTTTATTTTACTAATACAAGGTAATCGAGATCGTTCTCGAACAGATCGCTCACCGCAGCGTTGCCGCTGCTTGTGTTTATTATGCGAACTTACAAAATTTACGGAAGCTTCTATGATTTTTACACCGTTTTAAAATATTTTGCGAGCCAGCAGAATTGCCTTTGCGAGCTGCCGGTTTTTGTACAACCAATTGAACATTTCGCTTGATTTCAGGTGCAAGGCGAGAGGTGCGCGAGTAGACTGCAAATGGTAGCGAATTCGATAGCGTGGATGGCAAGGAATCTCTCTTTCGACGAGACCTTCATATCACCGTTCGCCGAGAGCGCGTTCGCCAATGGTATTAATACAATAGGTAAGTGTATACGCATATTAATCATATTTTCGCAACGCTAAGGTCGGATCGATTATTCTATTGCAACGGGCACGGTGTCATTTTATATCAACTGATATTTGATCAAGCGTGTACGCAGGCCTGGATCAAAACACTTTTGCAAGACCTTTTTTTAAATAAAGTGGTCTACTTTGAAAAAAATTTAAAATCCTTGTGCTAAAAAGTGTTTTTAGCATTTTTCATCTCAAAACACACCAATTATCTACGTGATTTTTTTCATTTGACGGGGTTGCGTCTATTTTTATTTTTGATGTAAGTATACAATATTTCACTCGGTGTAAAGAATTGAGATAAGAAAGAAATATGATTTATGACTATGGTCTTATAATAGAATTAGGTCTGCCAGGAAATAAATAAATTCGTATAATTTTTTTTTCTAGTGAATAATCAATCATAAATAAGCACATCGATGGTCTAATTCTAATACCCCATAACTGTATCGATCGTTATTTTACCGGAGAGGGTTTTTTATCTTGTAACGTACTAAATATGATTCAAAAGGTTTGACAATTTTTTTTTATATTACATTTTCATAACTAAATGATAAAATGTCTCTTATTTCCTAAATCTGTTTTTATTGAATTAAGTAAGATACGGATTTTTAGAACAAAAATAAGTTAGAAATCTAATGGTACGGGATATCATAATAGGTAACATTTAACACTAAACAAAACTGTTATTAACGTGGTAGAGTAAACGTACAATTTAATGGCGCGAAAAAGTAAAATTTGATTTTTTTGCAGATACGGGGTATTAGAATTAGACCATCGACATATTATTACAAAATATTCATAAAATTCAGGGGGAGCGGCATGTTTGGTTTACAGGTTGTCACTTTGACACTTAAAAATTCACTGTAGTGAGAACACTGCACGTATTGTTGTGAAACTTTGAATTTAAGTTTACTAAAGAGTGAGGTTAAGATTCGGTACTGACGTTCGATCCGCCCGGCCTACTATGTTTCTATATGCAAAACTTAAAAGACATCCCTCGTAAATCGATAAAATACCTCTCAACATCAAGTAATGTAATTTTCCAGCAAAGCGTCGGAACTTTTTTTGTTAATCTTATAATCAGTCTTATGAAGTATAATGTTAGACGTATGTGTTTTTATCGTTAAATTCACACTGTGTCACACGCCCTAAATATAAATTATAAAGAGTTAAAATGTATTTAGCTTGATTAACGGCTATGTTATTATTCCCGGAATGATGATTGTACGTAATGCAAATTTGAAAGCGACCTGAACGTTTTATCTCGATAACAATGAGAATTGTGAATTTACGGTTTGACGTGGGGTAATCATCTATGACGCACATGCAATAAAATAACTGTTTATTTTTTTAACGGCCACTGCCCTAGGTCAGTTCGTACTGCTTTGGATTGACAGCAGCACTGCGGTAGTTCCGACTGAAACTGGATTTAATTGTCATACGCAGGATGGAGCCATCGTAATTTTTATTATAGTAGTGCTTTATTTATCCAAAGGATCGGCTCTGAAAATAATTTGAATTTTATGAAATGTTTGTATCCAAATATTTCCGAATATTATATTTCTTCTTTTTATTTTGGTACTTTGTTGTTTAATAGCCCAACGTTCACACTTTTGGTAGTTGTTTTTTTTTCAAATTTCACATACAGTAATGGACAAAAGTATATAGACAAATTAATATTGTGCTGTATTTCTTTTTTAACTTGTTTTATTAATACACCAACCTGTATTCGTTATAGCATAATACTCACTTATACATACATAAATTCATTAGACTCGCTTCAATAATAAATTAATTGAAAAAACTGGAACTATGAAGGACAAAAATATATAGACAAAGCAAAACAATTATAGAAAAAAGAAGCAAAGTTCATTGAATTATAGAAAACCAACCATGTTTGTGTTAATATTTTGTAACATAACCATTATTATCAATCACCGCCTGGCATCGACTCGGCATAGATTGTAGAAGATTCTTGATATAAGATTCATCAATCTGTCTCCACTGTTGCTCTAAAGCGGCAAAAAGTTTCCTTGTTTGAATAATTTTTATCTCGTATTTGCGTATCTAAGTATTCCCATAGATTTTCAATGGAGTTTATATCGGGAGACTGTGAAGGCGATTTGAGAACTGGTATTTTTTCATCCAGAAAGAATTTCTTTGCGAGATTTGAAGTGTGCTTCGGGTCATTATCTTGCTGGAAGATTGATCTTAACAGCATATTGTCTTCCATATAGGGTAACATGACATGCTTTAGTATGTCTGTGTATACAAACTTATCCATAATGCCATCTATTCTATGTGAAGGTCCCATCCCAAACCCCGAAAAGCAACCCCAAACCATAAGTGTTCTTTAACTGTCAGTGAACTTAGTGTTTCTACTAATAATGCATTTGTTTATGGAGCTATGAAGTATGAATTCGTTTTCTAAAGGTATATAGGTAAATATTCATATTAATTTGTCTATATACTTTTGTCCATTACTGTATTTTCAAACCATCAAATTACTATTTTTATATGAGCGCATAGTCGCAACACTTCCTTCTTCTCAAATCTATCTATTCTCTACCTAATCATTGAGCTCACAATAAAAATGAAGGTTATATTGTATATTCATTTTTTCATATGTTCTCCTTTTCGAGTTCTAAATAATTGCTACATAAAAGACGTAGTTTTTTTATTGTCCAATACCTTATGTGAATGGAGTATTATTGAAATCACAAGTTCAGGTTGTGCAAGTTTTCAATATTTGGCGCCGAAGCCAAGTTTATTATCGTGTTGTTTGGAAAATGCTATCGCATGATTTTACGCTGTTTATTTTTGTTTTCCTTATGAAAATAGAATCGTTTAGATTATTCACTTTGCATCACTGATAAGTCCAAAATATTTTTGTTGATATAACTGCCTCATTTTTACGCTAATTATTTTGTTCCAAAATCGAACAGCTGCCTTATGAATGAACATATTAGATAGACCAAAAGCACGCGGAAATTTCATCGATGCGTTAAAGAAAAAAATATGGTAAAATAAACTTTCGTTTTTATCTGTTTTTCAAATACAGAAATACATTGTATTGCTTTTGTACATTTTCTGATAATTATAGTGTCAAAACAAAGTTCATAAGCTCATAGTTTTGAACTGCGTGACATCCCTTTTTCAGCTTGTGAACCTTTTCATCAGTGAGTATATTTTTCTATGATACTGATTCTAATTCTTGTTTGAAGATGTGTAAGAGTGTCCCAGAAGGTACATTGAAGTTTAAATTGGGCACAATTTTTCTACGACTTGAGTTGAAATTTTTTATTAAGCATGTGTCATTAAGAGACCCGGGGTTTAATTATGGATCTTTCGACATTAAAAGAACGTACAATAACTCTGAAAACGTGCTAGGAAAGTTTCTTCTGTGAAAATCACGATGGTGGACCAGGAGCGAACTTAGGATGCGGTTACCACAAATATGGATTTTTCATAGCTCCATGTTCACTTGTGAGATACGGCGAGGGAAACTTTAGAATTACTATAGACGACTAATGGACTGAAACATTTCTAGTATTGGATGGAATTATTCTAAGATGTTACTGAAAATCTCAAATTCTAGTCAAAGAATGGCCATCAACAGCCAGCTGTTCTTTCCAAAACAGTTTTATTTGAAAACAGAATCCCGAAGCTCGCTTTGGAACACTCACTAAGTTGACGAAAAATCAAAAGATAATGATGATGAATCATAACCCAATTTAAACAGTTTTTAAGAATTTGATCATGTTTATTGTAAGAACGTTCCCTTAACCTTTCTGATAAAAATTATAAATGAGTCATTAAACATTATCTACTACCGAAAAAATCTAGAACGGAACTTTGATTCTATTATGGAATGTCACGATCAACATTTAGTTTATATCTGTGACCCTGGGCATCTTTAAATAACATCGAAAAACTGAAATTCGTTTAATTAAACAAACAAAAGTTGTCGATAATAAAATGAAACAAACATACAATTATTTGTTAAATCATGTTGGTTAAATCGGCGATTATATCTCTCTGAAAAAAAGGTTTTTCCAAATATTCTATTTTTGAATATTTGGCACCCAGTTCGGTTTAGTTTTCGACTATGGCATCCCGGAGCAAAGTGAACATTAAGTTAAAAGGTATACAGGGTGTTCCAACTAAATTCATTTAAAATCAGAAAAAATATACACTGAAGACCAAATAACGTCGTAATGTGTACGAGAGAAAGGCTTGCAGTATGTGCGTTAGAAAGAGATAGAAGCACCTCGTTGAACATTACCGTGCATGTCCTTATCCGATTGTGCATGGTTTTTGAGTGCGGCATTTTGACGATTTTATTGAAAGTCGCTAACTTTGATCGTTTTTTTCGTCAATTATTAAAAACTAGTCCAGTTAATGTAGGTATAGCAATCGGTTTTAACGTAATTGTGTCTGGTACCAAAAATATTGCAGCATTCAAGTAAGTCTGTAAAAAAATATTAAGCAGAAAAACTGTCAATAGTAAGGAAACTTTTTCCTTTCCGATTTTGAGAATTTAATCCTAACATTTTGAATAAGCCGACGATAGGGACAATAAGACGTTAAACTTGAATGAAGTCTATGTCTAAACATTCCAAGGTGGTGGCTTTGGTATCATTTTGAGAATTAAAAGCGTTACAGAAACAGTGCCGTATTACCAAATCTTATAACCGCAGCTATCAACTTTTTGTAATCCAAATAGGAGAAAGGGGCAGATTTTATTGAACTAGTGAATTAAAATTGGAATTGCCTCTGTTTTTTGCGATGTGCGCGAAATACTAAGATTGTTTTGAAACTAACGTAGGTGTCGGAACGTATCAATCAAAGACGGCATGTGATTCTGTCTATCAGTGTGATTATTCAACTTGGCAGTGAACATGTATCTACTACCGCGTGATTATTTCGTCTAGCATTTAATGCGTAATTTTGGGAAAATAATTTATACTAAGTGACATATAAATCCGAACATCCAGTTTAAATGGTTTTATTTTAATAAAATTTTGTATAAGTACTTAATGAAGCATAATAAGTAAATGCTAAAAATTTCAAAATGATTGCACTGCTTTAAAGCCCTTTGACCTTTAATAATGTGTGGATGCACCCTGATGTGCTACGCATTCTCCAACGCGCCTAGGCATGCTTCTGATCAGGTGGTCAATGTCCTCCTGTGGTATCTCATTCCAGGCAAGCACCAACTCCTCTCGAAGTGCTTCTAGAGTCTGAGGAGGACGTTGCAAATTGAGCAATCTCCTACCCATCATATCCCACACGTGCTCAATTGGGGATAAGTCGGGAGATCTTGGTGGCCATGGTAACAATGTGGCATCATTATGTTGAAAGAAGTCTATTGTGACTCTTGCAACATGTGGTCGGGCATTATCTTGTTGGAAAGTTGGATCTGCCAGGGTGTCAAGATAGGGTAAAAGATGGGGTTCTAGAACTTCGTGGATATAACGCTGCGCGTTCACGTTACCTCTGATGAACCATAAGCTATAGCACCCCAAACCATAACTCCAACAGTGTCATGAACATGTCTTTCAACAAAAAACTGTGGATTCCTCCTTTCACCACGTCGCCTTCTAACCCTGACACGACCATCGTGCATGCCTAAACAAAATCGAGACTCGTCACTAAAGACAATACTGTTCCATTCCTGATCCCAGAGTGACCGTTATCTGCACCACTCAAGGCGATTACGTCGGTGTTCTCGAGTTAAAGGGAGGACCCAGTGTGGCCGGTATGAAAACAAGCCAAAACTTCTCATTCGTTGGTAAACACTTCGCATGCCAATAGGTCTTCCGTGTTCTGCAAACCATTCATTTGCATTGGACCTGGTAGTGGAGAAACGGTCCCTTAAGGCCAATAATCTTAGGCGGCGATCTTCACGGTCTGTTGTTCTACGGCGGCGTCCAGTGCCCCTTGCTCTTTGCGTACGGCCTTCTCGAAGCCATGCCTGACAACACCTAACCACAGTGTCTACACTTCTTTGCACTCTAACTGCAATTGCCCGAAAAGAAAGTCCAGCTTCCCGAAGTCCCACTATTCGGCCCCTATCAAACTCACTAAGTTGACGAAATCATACAGGTCTCCGTACTCAAGGCATCGTAACCGATCGTAAAGGATGTCAAGAACCAAAATCCGCCAGCGTTGATTCTTTACTGCGGCTGAAATATTCATTTTTAGAGCGTTAGTGAATTAAAAAAAAAGCAGTATAAAAACCGGAATGTCCAACTGATAAGGCTGAAAATTTTTTCACTTGTTATTTACAGTAAGATAAACACATTCACCAACTTTTATTAAAATTAAACCATTTAAACTGGGTGTTCGGATTTATATGTCACTTAGTATACTTACACGTCAAATTTTTATCGTTTTACTAGGAAAAGTGAAACTTGGGTCTGGTCTATGCGAGGTAGATAAGCTCGAAAATACAGGGTGGGCCATTGAGTTGAGCAGATTTTAAAAAATCCTAGGAAAAAACTACAAAGCATAGGAAAGAAAATTTATATTTTCAATAAAGTAGATACATGGGAATTTTATTTTTTCAAAATAACATCATTGAGATGGCTCCTAAAATCATTGCTGTTCAGTATTTGTTACAAAAAATCGTGCCAGTACAACAAGTAAGGACTGGAATTGATGATGGATGTGAAACCAATACGTAAAACTCATGGAATTTTTGAGTTTGTCACTAGATGAGAAAGAAAGCAGAATTCTGGAGCGGGAGGTGGTCCATTCCAACATGTAAATATTTTGTCAAATTGTCACCTTTCATTCCTTAGATTTAAAAAATTGGCTTATAAATGAATATTGTGCATCGATCAAATTACAGTTTTAACAATATTTCGACATATAATCCACTTGTTTTTGTTTTTTTTCCTCGAAAACGAAGTATGATACGAAGTGATACCAAGAGACAAAATAGTTGTATCTTTATATATACATATTTTTGAGAAAATTCAGTGGCGCACATTTTTTTATTAATATTATTTGCGAGACTGTCTCCCCGGGACTCCACTGGAATTTATAATTATCCTCTAGGCTAGTCAATGCTAACTCAGCGTCTTACTGCAACGGACACTGACAAAACTCAACAAACCCTACACATGGATCTTTTAGATATTAATAAAAAACAATCAAACTTTGGCGCACTGTTTCTGAAAACCATACTTTTTAGGATAGATGTTTATATGAACTTTTCTACTGGAATTTGCTTAATAAATGTTCTCTTGTATTTACGGTCTATCATTCAGTAACACCCTGTATAAAACGTCCCAAAATAAGATAGCAATCTCTCGGTTGCATGTAAAATTCAATGAATATGTTGCTATGAAAAATGTCCTACGGGGCACCCCTTTAAATATACATGCCAGTGGCAGATCTAGAAAATATGTCCATATGATGTAAAAAACGACATAATGTCACTTTTCAAGATACGTAATACCTCTGCGGAGTAGGGGGGCCGATTACAAATTGAAAAACATTTTTTTTAAATTCGGATCTTTCGGGGGAGGGTGTTTACCCCCAGGACACCCCCTCCGGATCCTGCACTGATACATTTTTGACTACTTTAAATAATTCAATGAAATTTTGACAGCATATTGAACGGCCCAACTTAGTATTGCTGTTTTCTATACCTATATGATAAGGGTGAACTGAGCTGTTATTAAGATTTTTTTTTTGGATTGGATACTGCTTCCATTAATTCATACTGTAGTAAATTCCAAAAAAAAATCGTTAAAGCGATATGGAAGCATCATCAGGTCGTTGCTTGCAAATCTGTTATCAGATTAGTAGCTGTATCGTTATTGTGGGCTCAATATCAAAACTTATGAAACAATGTGGCATGCTCTACCTCCACCGTTATCGATTGTAGTCGTCATGCTTTTATCGAGAATTTCCTTTATGATGCTATAAAAATCCCCTCTAATCCACTATCCTTCTTCTAGGTGGAAAACCGGACGACATAACAGTCATCCTGGCGACGGTAGCTATATGAGGAAGTCATTGGGATAAAAGTATGGTGTACCAAGGAAATGAGGTCTCGTTCGACAAAACACAAGTGACGTCGATTTTGGTAGTTAGTGAAAATAACATCAAAATATGAAATAAAAAAAATACATTACGATGCTCGTCAAACCGAAACGTCATTTTATGGCGTGCACGCCAGTTGTGATTTTCTCCATTTAGCGTTGGTATTTATTTATTAGACTGTTTCAGCAAGCGAACACTGGTGCTCTAGTTACATTTTGCGATGGTCGATCGAAGAATATATTGTCGAACACTCGGAAAGAGCGAGGTAATTGCAAAGAAAAATCGATTCAGAAATACTGATTACCGTCATTACATATCGAGGGCTAAGTCCAATTTTACTAAAAAAAAGCGCTTAGGTCACAAATTCAATGAATCAGAAGGCGTCTTTGAAGTGATGGATCTAATGAATATGCTCGATTTCCGTTTGTGTAAGGTGTGCCCCTAATTCCCAGATTAAATCAAGAAATACGTCATAAGCCATTTGGTTGAGCTAAAAAAGCCTATTTTTGCGTCCGGATGCCAACTTAGCAGCCATGGCCATAGAATGCATCATTGATAAAGAAAGACGCATGGACATCTGATACAATATTTGACAGCAATTATATCATACTGTGTCTCACTGCTGCTGTGAAAAATCTGCTTGGTAAGTTCTTTGAGATAACACTACAGAATGCTTATTCTTCAACATCGAGTAAATATTCAATTTCTCTCACCACCGTGTGAAAAACCCTGTTCCTTGAGCCAGCCCTGTTAACAGGGAGCTCTCGTGCCATCTACCGGGCAGTAGGACGACCTCGGCGCGGTTGCGGAGTCGGCCTACGGTCCAGTAGAGTCAGAGATAAACCCTTCTAGAGATGGGAAAACTCCAATACTAAAATAAGTTACCGTATTTCTGCGACCTCTGGTGGATTGGCCGCACACCAGTGCTGAATAATGGGCCTTTCCATCTTAATAGGACAAACCTAATGGGGCTTTTTACATTCTGTTAATAAATCGTCTTACGTAACAAAAACACTCCAAATGGGTTAATTTCCACTTTCTTAGTCATTAATACATGACGCGCATTTCGACACACAGTGTCTTTCTCCAATGCTGGGATGAGTCGCGCGTCACGTATTAATGACTAATATAGCAGAAATTAAACCATTCGGAGTGTTTTTATTACATAAAATGGCTTGTGGAAAATCTTTCTAGGGGATGCGAAGGGAGGAATTAAAATTCAAGAAATAATTATAGTCATTTTATGGTCAATCATTCATATACAAATTATATCACTTTTTCTCACAAAGCTAAATATAATAATAATAATGTCTTTAGAAATCCATCCACACTACGAGGCGAAGTTTATTCAGCTGGCTACTCTACCACTTAACCTCACAGCGCAGAAACACATATAAAAAAAAGATATAACAATGAATAGCAATCGACTAACTACTATATACAATAATTAAGGCTTAAATAGAGTAATCTAAAGATGTTATCAATACTACATGGCCCGCTCTAACAAAAAAAAAAGAAATATATATCAGCTAGCTTGGCTAGCAGACCCCAGACGATGGTTCTTAATGGCTCTCTTGAATGCAAGTATTCCCACATATTGTGCAGATAACTTTTAGCCCAGCTTGCTGACACCTTGTTATTATTTTCGTCAATAACCTTACTAATATTACACTTTTTGTAGAGGATCTACAAAATGTGTATGCTAGAGGTTGCTTCCAATTTTTAACAAGCCCTCTAACCATAAAAACTAATGCATGATCTGCAATAACTGCATTTCTTTGTTCATCATCATTTGTTTCAAAGCCCTCAAATTCTTTGCTTGCAACATTTAAATGTATATGGGGGTCCAGACTCATTTCATCAAACATTACAGCACAATACTTGCTGCTTTCATCTAAGCCAGAAACAACTTCTGCAAGATTATTAAAAATCACATCATTTACACCTGGATTGATGGGAATCCGGTTTAATAGCTGCATTATTGTTTTTTTTTGAGGGCATAGCAAATATTTTTGATAATGCTCGATATCCCCTACCACTTTGTTTATGAAGTATAAGTCCCATCAATTTCTTCTAGGCTATATCTCCGTCCCTGTGATTTACTACCAGCCAGTGTGATCTGGCTTTTGATAAAAGTAGCTACAGTACTGTCCAAATGCTGCAATGCCTCATTTAATACTTCTCTTGTACTTCTGGTACTTCTAATCAACCTCCTTGTACATCTTAGTCTTCTATTAGCTCTACAGAGGTGACTGGCTATCTTATATAGCTTCTTAGCTTTTGGACTTAAGTGGGTTTCTCTGGTTACATGTAACTTATGCAATAATCCAGATTCTATTCTTGAGGAACCTTGAAATAAAGAATGAAATTGATATTATATTACATATATGTTCAGAATCCATTACAACTGTATTTTTACAAGACAATAAATTCAATAAAATGTTCCATTTCTAATTATAAATGCAAGTGATTGATAGTCAAAGTTGACCAAACTTCGTTTAAAGTTTATATTATGCTGATGTGATTTGAAATTAAAATTATTATTATTAGTAGGTATTGTTATGTATAGAAAACAATTTTGTTTTCAAACTTTCACAATTTTGAAGAACTTCTAGTAAGATTTGCTTTTTTTGGAAAACAATGTTTCCCTTGGTATAATAGGCTAAGAGATTCATGCAAAATTACTTTACTCACTTGCTTCTGAATAATGCTCCTCAATGGGTTCCAGTGTAGTTACATCAAGATTTCCTGGTTGTGAAGTTGTAACTGAGCAAACTTCTCCCAACTGTTGATATGATGCTGAAGTTGATGGTTTTCCTGTAACCACACAATTTACACTATCAAAAAAAAAAAAATTACATGATCAATTTTATAATGTTTCATACAGTTACTGTGCTATCATCAATAAACTGTTTTGGAGCGCATTCTGGGAATGATTGAAACAACTACCAATGAGATGTTTGCAGTTAAGATAATGTGATCTCTAATTTTCCTGTATAAATATTCACCTTATAACATTCCCAGTGTTAACTGGAGCTCAGTCTAACTTATTCCGAATCACTTGTACTAAACACTGTTGAAAGTCACAACTTATAACAGTTTCCAAAAAGCTGAATATATGTAATTGAAGTTGAGATATGTAAAATTGGGTGATACTAAAAATTAAACAAACCAACATACCAAGCATTTCATCAGTTGCGTTGGATATTTGTTGATCAGGAAGATTTAGTGATGGCACAGCATCCTTCCTAAATCTGTTGTTACCATAATTGTCTTCCAGTGTGAAGTGTGCATGACACACTCTATATCTATTATAAACAGTTATGGGGTCTATATCTCTCACTGCTTCATTACCAATACAATCCACCCATTGCACAAAAACATACATAAATTTCGTCGGGTTTGGAAATCTATGTCGTACTGAAACACTGTCCTGACAGCCTCTAACTGCGCATTTGCGGTACCGAGACATGGTTTCTGAAAAACAACATTCAGTTACAAAAATATGTTCAAGTTAAATGACTCAAGGAAACAGAAATGTTGCTAGACATGACAACATAAACAAAATCAAATTTAACTTTTGCAGTTGTAATAATGTAGTAATACTGTAATGATACAATATTAAAATTGAAGATTTTAGCAAACATATTTAGATAAGCAGGGCCGTTGAGAAATAAGCTCGGGCTCCTATGCCCAAAAATTCCTCGAGCCCCCATGCCGAAATATTCTCGGGCCCCTATCTTGACATAAGCGAACCTAAGGACGTCAATCCATCAGTTCAGTAAGCGAGCCTCGTGCTCCCCTCAGCGCCGAGCTACGAGCTCCTCTCTTGTCGACGGCCCTGAAGTTTTGTACCCATCAACTTTGCCTATATAACTAGATTATATCACTATACTTACATGCTGCAATAAACAAGCGCTGTAATCACTCAAATTTAACCACACATAAACAAAAAATAAAAGTATTTAACGGTCCAAATACAAAGAAGGAAGCAGTGACAGCTGTCAAATATCAGCTTCCAATTCCGACAAACGACAACAGCGATACCAGCGGCATCCAACGGATTGATCACCAACTAAAAACACTGTTCCAATTCATCCCATAAGAGTGAATACCCCCTGAGTAGAGTGCGCGATGTTAACATGAGCATTAGTCAAATTCATTAGATCCATTATTTCAAAAATGCCGTCTCATTGAAATCATCACCGATGGATTTACCGTACCCAATTTGGTGGTCACGAAAAAAAATGTATGTCAAGTTTTATCCCAGAATCAAGATTAGGGTTGAGAAACAATTTTTGGACATGAAAGCACATCAAGTATGGTAAATAAAAGGGTAATGATTCCACAGAAATTTTAGTTAATGTTTATTGACACTAAGCCGTCGATATTAGACCCAGATTTCGTCACACTATTTGTCTCCATAAAGCAAGTGTCAAATCAAGTTTGTATCAGTTCCATAATGAAAAATTGCATTAAATTATGGTCTTACATCTGTTGAGTAGATTACATGTCACTTGTGGAATCCTTGCTTTGCAATATAACGAAAATTTAATATACCGTTGAAATAAACCAAAGTGTCCATTGAAACGTACACAACAAAATATCAACCATTTTGTTTTTCTTCGTATTTGTCGAACGTCCCTCGTGATTTTCGTAAGCTTTAACGTAGTACTTGTAGGTTAAAAAATGTCAACTCGCCTGCTGAAACATTGTCCATCTATTTACTGTATAGTAGTGAAATGTGAATATACAAACGAAACGATACGTTTTTCGAAGTAGCCGAGATCGAGAAAGAGCTTGACTGTTACGCCAGAGTTACATTCGCGTACCAGGTGATTTATATTTCCAAGGAAATGTACGCATTCAGGGATTGATAGCACTGTAGCTACAGTGCTGATCCTCCCTGAATGTGCGTCACTTATATTCTTTCGTTCTTATGGAAAATGCCTGATACGAAATAATGAAAAATGAATTGTAAAATATAAATCTTGCAGGGACGTAACTACCTTTTGAAATTGTTTTACACTTGGTTTAGTTATTATGAAATAATCAATATCTGAGCAATACGCTCTAGCTGAGAGTTTACGTGTTGCAACCCATAAAAGTGTTTTCTGTTGAAATAATGACTGGCCAATTAAATCAAAAATTACTTGGTGCACGAACTCGTAACTCAGTTCAATGTTTCTCGAGGCAATTCTTAGCTCTTATCGATCTTGACACGTTTACACAGAAACAGCAAGATATCTTGATATTCCGAAGGCTTCAACCGTTGCTAGTCGCTCCAAAAATAGGTAGAAGTATGTGTACTGGTTATTTTGTAGATGGCCCAATCATTTTTTTGTTTTGCGTGCGAAAAGGAACGTCAGAAATGTGTTACCTTGAAATGGAAAAAAACTATTTTTTGAAGTTGTTTGACTTTTTGTATACTTTGACAGACAATGGCTACTGTAGGTACTAGATTTTAGTGATAGGCATTGAGAAAAGAGCTTTGTGATTATGCCGATTACTAATAAAATCTAGTAAGATCTATTCAAAGCATCATATTACACTTTGTCACTGCATCAACAGAGATTTGATACTGTAGCCAGTGACTTTTACAGTTGATTAATGTATTCTACCTGAAGTTAGCTGATCGTATACTGTATTCCAGCGTCATCCATGGGACAGTAGCAAAACACAACAATAAATTTAGAAATCCACGAAATTTCCCACGCCTTTTTTTATAAACAAGACGAAATGGCAGTGTGATTCCTCTTTCTTTTTTTTTTGAAATTAATCAATGGACGAATAAATAAAACACTATAAATCAAATCTAAGGCTCAGCCAATGCAAAACAGTAGTCAGTGGCGTGCAAACTAGGCCCTAGCTGAATAAAGCGGAGAGTAGGGGGCTTAAGACCGCCAGTGACTTGAGACGGATTAAACCACAAATACCCGAGGAACTTGTTTTGCTTGACCACAACCAAAAGAAAATAATCTAACAGCAATGACGTAACCAGAGCCAAATAAAACAAGTTATTAAAAAAAATCACAATATATTACCTCAGCAAACAGCACAAATGCTCCACCACTGGAGTGCAAAACCCTGATGTGAACAGGGTCTTTTTTGCTAAGGGGACGGGCTTCTGGCAATATCAGCTGCAAAACAGCTACCGGCAAAGCTGGAGGAGTGTGTGGTGATTCTCCACAATGCCCCCACGCTCAAGATTAAAATCCCTTTAGAAAATGGATGGGGTAGCACCCAAACCAAAACAATTAAACGTAAGGTTCTATATGAAGGGGTACTACTCCACAAACTGGTGATCAGCACCTAATATCCCAGAATCTGGAGGTTAAAGAAATGGCGCTCACACCACAATCTCAGGAGAAACGTGAAGTAACGGAGAAAAACCGTTTTGGTTCTACTGCGATCTCACAGATGGCACTAGGATCTTTATTCCCTTTTTGGCATCTTTCGTACCTATTTTAATTGCGTTAATCAATGCTTTTACACCATTTCGTAGAAAATTGTCTTTATCATTCGATAACACATTTTTGGCATTGCTGAACACAATGTTTTTTTTGTATTGGTATTTTGGGAAGCAAGAGCACTGAGCATATTGGCCTTACTAGCAAATAATTAGGAAGATCGTCGGAATAAATTCGAGTTGTGATGTAGCCCTTGTAGTTTTTTTGCTTTGAGGCTTCCCAAGCAGATTTATCTGTCGGCGAATAATAGTTTTATTTTTTTCTGTGAAGAGAAGTGCTGCTTCTTACAAGCACTCACTATGTTTAGTTTTGTACTTTTAGAGGGACAGACATCTTTGTGACATGTCTTTTCAGTTATTCGAGATTCTCAAATCTGTACATACGTAAAGAAGCATTCTAACGGCATAGAGCAAGCGCCACCTATTGTAATTTTTAAGCACTTCTGCACAGCCTGTCAAACTCAGTTGTAAAATGAGCATGCGCAAACTTATGAGGAAATCTGCATGCACATTTTGACAACTGTGTAATGACTGTATACTACGTAAGTGAAGGATTGAAAAAGTGGTATTTTAGAAATTTGGCATAAAATTTGAGATCAAATTTTACAGCAACCTCATATCGTGTTATGCACCTATAAGTTCTCGTTTGACTGTTTTTTTTTTATAAAGATTATTGACTTTCGAATAATGTACATTTGACAGTTGTCTGTCCCGACAACGTTTCCTAATGTTGTGATTTTGTTCTGTGACCAAGTCAATATAAAAATGTATTCGGGATTCCGTTTACCAGAGGCACCGTTTGTTGATCCTTCAGTAGGTGATTCCTAGACCTAATATTTAGGTTATTTGTTTTGAAAAACCATATGGTGCGTCTAAGGATTATACTCAAAACACTTGTTTCATTGCATCTGTGAACGCCTTTTAGTTACATTGAATAGTTGTTATTAATAAAGAACTTTTGTTTTATGTGATTTTTTATTTATACTCCCTCATGATCGCATACAAAGCACCATCTATGAGCCAAGAACATAGCAGTACATTGTAAAACATCATGGGCTTGAAATGATTTTTTTCCTTAAAAATATCTCACGATCAGTGTATTGCTATTTAACCGTCCTGACGCCCAAGGCCATGAACTTTTTTATACCGACTCTATACTCTATCCCAGTGGCGTAGCAAGTGGGGGCGGCGGGGCGGTCCGCACCGGGTGTCACATTTTTTGGGGTGACACCCACCCGATGATTCAACTTTAAGAACAATGTACAAACATAAAAAAATGCACAGATTGCACTGCAAAGTAAAGGCTTGACTGTTGACAAAACTGCGACAAAAATACAGGCACTTCGTCATTATATCGAAGAAAACCGGGGTCATATAGAAGAACTTCAAAAAGATATGTTGGAATGTCTTAACCAATTCAGAGTTGAACTCCAGACAAAATCAAAGTCTCTTCAAGACCTAGCTTCATTGTTCGAGATCGTACAAAGAAATACTTTGCTTTTGGCGAATACTGAAGAACTAAAATTAGCTACATCCAAATTTACTGATTTTTATCATGAGGTCTCAGAAACAGAATTATTTTTGGAGATACCAAGACTGCGAAGACACTTAAAAGCTGCTAATGTTACAGTTTCTAATTGGGTATCTTTTGATTTTTTAAAGTTTATTGTAGAATGGGATCTTACAGAATCTATTCCAAATCTTATGATTGCACTAAAATTGTTCATCACGGTTTGCGTGTCTGTAGCTTCATGTGAAAGGAGTTTCAGTAGACTAAATTTAATGAAAAACTAGTTGCGGGCAACAATGACCCAAACGCGGCTTAGAAATCTTGGTATATTAGCCATCGAACATGTGGCAATACAAAATATAAGTTTTGATGAAGTTATTTCTGATATTGCAGCTGTCAAAGCTAGAAAGAAGAGATTTTAATTGTAAGATAAAAATGGTTTTTCTGTCTTAGTTTTTATTGTTTTGTTGTGTCATAGAGAATTTATTGCTTTTGAATTTCGATGGGGTGACACCACCAATTTCCGCACCGGGTGCCACCCAAGATAGCTACGCCATTGCTCTATCCCATATCTTAAATAAATTTCATGGGGTTTTGAGAGCAACATACAAAGTGCCAAAATCCATGATCGGCCGGGTAGGGAGGCAGGGGTGATGCCCCTCCCCAAGATTCTGGTTTAACCTTAAAATTTGCATGTTTAGCAAGGTATTATGTACAATTTTACGGATTTGTCCCCTCCCCCTGGGGGGGTTCATGGTAATATATCAAAAATAAAAAATTATTAAACCATGTACAAGTCAGCAGGATAAGGATATATATATATATATTTAAAAAAGAAACATTCATTACATAAAAATTATAACAACAACAATATTGTACCATAATATGACTAAGATAAAAATACATTTATTAAAAACTCGTATAAATATATTACTATAAAATATTCATATTTTATTTGTACCCCTTTAACAAGTTACATGCCATACATATAGAATATGTAAATTATACATTATATTATTTTAAATTTAAAAATCTATATTCTCCACAACTGGACTTTCAAAAAAACTCGTAATTTTGTTGATACTAGCCTTATGGGCTGTCACTCTAGGGGCACCACTAACCTGAACACTGAGACACTCTGCGATACCTTCCTTTCCACTTCTGATATATAGTTCCCTTAGCTCTTCCATAGTGACACCGGCTCCAGCGATCTGCCCGATCATATTTTTCGACACGCCTACCTGCGTAAGAGGCATCAATTCAAATGAGTACGTGTTCTTCCTGGCATTGTACAGTTGTCTCTCCATGAAGTCACGAATGGAATATACGCATCTGAGCATTATTTCTGGAGTGACGTTGAAGTGATCGAGCAGACCAGCCACAAGTATACAGTCATGCAGAGCATCGTGAGCGTTTTCTAAATGAACTTGCCACTCTACGCCAGTCAGATAGGTGCTCGCGAGGAGAGAGAGCCTTCCAACTTTTCCTTGGCGCAGCAATGGGAGAGAGTCAACCATACCATGAATCAAGGAGCAGAACTCTGTCACAAGGCAATGATTTTCCATGAATCGAACGATGCGCGGTCCATCAAATCTCACAATGTTGTGTCCAACTAGAACAACTTTTTTACCACACTTTCTGAGAAAGTTCAAAAATTCTAACGCCACTTCATTAGATGATCTTGTTGGAACAATATCTCCAGTCCGCATGTTCACTAGTCTTCCTTTACAGTCAAGTTGTAGACCATGCACTTCAGACGCTTGTGGATCAATCATGTATTTTGGAGTCATGTACGCTGAAAATTCTTCCGAGCCACACTTTGCTGCAATCTGAACAATTTCTGCATAAGCTCTAAATCCTGACGTTTCAAGGTCCACAATCACAAAACAGTCAGGCTGGATGTTGTTTTCCTCGGGAATCACTAAAGACGTTTTGGTGTCTTCGACTGGTACTGCAGCTCGCTCCATGGCCATTGTATCTTACAGACTTATTCAGTATTGTCCAAACTTGATAATCCCTGTGCACAATCTCTTTCCGGTAAGGCTCTTACGTACGTCGTACTGCCTTGCTGATAAACAGGTATTCACCCTTGTACAGCTCTGGATCAACTGACGGCCCAAGGTACTACCGCGTGTAGTGTACAAAAATTGTAGGGCAAGGCAAGTTTTACAGCGCCACCTTTGGCGCCAAAACCGTAAATAACTAACCTCACGCCTATCGAAACTTATCGACGAAGGTTATTTCGAGGATGGCCCGAGGAAAATCCGAGTTCTTATCGTGTCGGCTTCTGTACACGCAGGTGCGAATCAATTGGCGCTGCATTACCAAAATTCGAACACGTTGCAACTACTTACGATAGCGATTTCATGAGTGTTTATAATGGCTATCAAGAGTTGATCGACTCTAATTTTTATTTTTTTTTTAACATGTAATTGGCATTGGAAGTTATCCATTTGCCACAGATGTGTGTTACTTATATTTCTCTAATTATGGACAAACACACGACGTCACAACATCCAAGGCGAAGGCGAGATTCGAACTCGCGGCCCGGCCGGTCGGCTGATCAGTAGCACGACACTCTGACCAACGCGGCCAACCGAGGCCCCATCGACTCTAATAATTTTGGTAAAGCAAGTTTCCTTACTCTTGCACGGTAATCATGTGTCCAACTAGAATCTCATACTATCTATACTATAATCAACATACAGGGTGTAAACGTTATGATAGATTATTTAAATGGGTGATAGAGAGGGTTAAAAGATGCAAAAAGTTTCATATAACATGGGGGTCAAAACGGCATTTTTTTGAAGAAAAGCGACTTTAAAGTAAAATAAAATCTGACAACGCCGAAATGCCAGACGCAAGTTACGACGGAACGCAGTGCAAATAAAGATTGAGTTTGTTATTTCTGGCTCTTAGGTATTGTTTCATTATTTGATAACGTACTCGTAAAATGCAAACAATTAAAAAAAACGGACTTACCACTAACTCTCTCAGCGCTTCACCTGGCGTGTGAAAGTTTATTGAACGTATTAAAAAATCCACTTATAAATAGGGAACACAACTTTGATACCTACATTGTTTTTCTTTTTAAAACCCACACTGCACTTTTTTGTATTTAACGAAGGTGTTAAAAATGTCCTCCACTTTCCACACAAGCTCCATTATAACCTTCACGAATGGTATGACGATTTTCTTGAGCTCACGTGGGAGTATTATGGAAATTTAATATCCCGTCTCGCGTAAAAGTACATTCATCCGTCGCTAGAATGTTTTTAAAAAAATCCGGATTTTCAATGTTTTTGTGCAAAAACCACTGACAGAATGTTGGTCTGCGAGGATAGTATTCTGGTAACAAGGCCTGCACTCGTACATGGTAGGGATAAAGCAAAATTTCCCGTAAGATTCTATAGACTATGGTATGCGATAGTCCTACGCGGCGGCCTAATTCCCGAGTGCTGATATCTGCACTGATTTCCACGATATTTAAAATTTGTTCCTCCTGCTCTACAGTAACCTGTCTTTCACGAGTGCGAATATTAGTGGGATGAACACTTCCTGTATCGCGAAGTCTTTGGTACACTTGCACGAATGTCCTTTTGTTGATTTATGCGCTGCGTTTTTCGCGCGATTCGCAGTGAGGTCATAACTCATGACCTGTCATTTGACTGAATGTTTCGTTTGTTTCCTGTCAAATTTCGAAAGGTTCCATTTACATCTAGTAACGCGGCGTTGTCTTTTACTTCACGACCTGCGCGCACCGAGTTTGCCGATACAAAGCGTTAGCAATGGTGCACGACGTGTTAAGATATTCTCTTCCGTTTTGGTACCCGATCATAACATAATGTTGAGACATTTTGAAGGGTTGACCGAAGTGTCGAAAGTAACCTGTTGTAAGCTATAAAAATTTATTTTGAAATATATGGACTTCCATTTTACCGGAAAAGTAGAGTTAACAAGTGTTTCAAAAACAGTATCACTTACATTTACCTAAGTTATCACAAAATAAGGAAAATACACACAATATTTAAAAATTCAATAAATACGACTTTTTACAGTGTTTGCTAACTGTTCAGTTACATTTATTCATAAAATTAGAAAGTATCTTCCCAGAGAAGTTTTGCTGCAAATTATTGCATATGAATAACATTATAGTGCCATATCTGTACAAACAGAAAAACAGTAGAGAAAAGGTTGCATATTTCAATTTTTGCACAACTTCCATTTTTCTTTGTTTTTTCTCTAATAAACAAAATAAATGAAACACTTTGAACATTATTTTTATAGCAGCTCATATAGGTTAGCCATGCGAGGGTAAATAAACTGTTGTTTTGAACAGAAGTATCTATTGAAATATCAAGGAAAAATTCAACTATTTATCTACTGACTACTTTGTTCATGTTGCAGATTTCTGGCACTTTTATAATACAACAAATTCAATCATTTTGTAATTTGCAGGAGGTATGCACTATTATTATTGTATGCAAAAACTCATCAGTCTTTTTCATTACAAGCTTATTTATTCCATATTTCACGTATAAGCGGATCTATGTTTACAATTACAAGAGGAAAAATGGGAAACTGACTCAACTATTCATCTATTAATTACTGGTTATCATTAAACACCTCAGAAAGCATTGCATACCCCAAAACGTTTTACTAACTCAAACACCATGATTCAATTTAGTTACCACCTTTGTCTTCACATTTTTACTACAAAAACAGTAAATCAGTTTAATTTTCCTGATTATCTTCTTGGTTGTCTTGATTCCCCCATTGAAAACCCCCTGGTTGTTCTTCTGGCAGTCTTTGGTAGTCAGCACTATCAGGAGGTGGATCAAAAAGGGTTCTTCTGGAATTGAAATAAAACGCATGCATGTACAGGATAAAGGCATCTTGACAGCAACTCAATTTTGACTTCAGTTTGGGTATATAGAGCTAGTATATAGAGTAGGATATGTTTGATTTTTGTCTCTGCAACTAAAAGCAACCATATTCAACATTGTTTCATGCTTTTTAGCAATCATGAGTATAGTAGAGGAGACATGGGACATGGTGGAAAACAAAAAAGACACGGGTCTACTCAATATTTTGATGTGCATAAAATAATCCAATGCTAACAAGCCACCTAATTAACATGGCCTGTGGTTAATTTTTGCAATGTTTAGTGGTAGCACAGTGAGCTTGTAGTACCCACATGAGCAACAATGAGATGGCTATGTGGTAAGTGTTTATTGTTTAGCTCTATAGAAGCAAATATTGTCATTCAGAGATGTCAGGAGATTATAGTTTCCTGCTGCCAACATAAAGGTTGACAGTACGAGTACTAACAATAGGTGGTGTGTCACCTTTGGTTTATTTTTTGCATATAAGGAGATACTTACAACAATGAAGGTGTTTTCAAAATTGTGAACCCTCCCCTTTGATTTGGAAACACATCTTCCAAAAAATAATAAATATGTCCTACCGCCATCCCAACTAAATCAACATAAACTGCATTACCCAGAAGCACTGAGAAAGCTAGCAAGATCCAGGGCAAATAAGGAGCCTAAAAATAAAGTTTAAATCAAGTTTTCATATGGAATTTGAGAAATGAATTACTATGTACTAGCAATTGTTTTTACCTGAAAATTTAGAAGTCCAAAAAAGTTCATTCTGACATAAGGATTCCTTCTAGACCATACATAAACTAACATTATTGTGAACGCTTGCCCTAAGAAAAGTAGGTTGACAAAAAATGCAAACCCCTAATAATAGACTAAGGAAAATAAGTTCCAGTTCAAGTTTAGCCTAACTATGAAAATTATCAATAGATTACTAAAAAGTTACTGCAAAATTTCTAACAGTGTTCAACCAATCAAAATAATTGATTCTAATATGAAATCAGAGGTCCAAAATAAATTGATTTTGTTTGACCATAATAATTTTTGAAAATAGTGGAACTAATACTAAAACAATCAAAAATGTAAAAGGATACAATCATCAGCACTGCTCCAAAAACAAACATAAGCACAAAGTCTGCAGTTCTGTTCCTGAATGAACCTTCTTCTAACATCCTACAGTACCGATAGGTGAATATCATATTAAAAAAGAAATTGAACCCAAATGTGCCAAAGTAGAGAAATGTTGTTACTAATCTCCATATTTGGCATTGTTTCAGGATTAGGATTGGGTTAAAGTATAGTTGAAAAATGGATACTAATTCTAGTTGCTAAAAAAAAAAAACTGTTAATGTGTATATTTCCTCAATTACTTCTACAAGTTACATGTCGGCAACTATAATAACTTTAAAGTGTAGGTCTGGCCATGAGTTAATGCAAGAAAGAACCCCCAGATCACAGAAAATTTGTTTTTTGGGAATTATATTGCCCTCATGATCTGAATGTAAACTGCATCTGCCAAAGGGTCACTTCAGCCGCAGACTCAACCCTGGCCATTACTTTACAAGTATACAATTTGTCTAAAAATGATAAAAACTTACTACTGCTAACGTAGTTAGTACACATGCAGTTGTGTATGCCCTTGTTACAGGGGGCATCTGCAAGTACTCGTTCCTTAAAGTTTGATATGCCATTTTTCATAACAATTGTTCTTCAGGACATTATAATAAACAGAAATATATGCAAATCTTCATTTTCTTGGCCACATCATTGTTATTTTTCTGCTATAAATATCAAAACATGACTTTGACGTTTATTATAGACGATGACTGCTGGCAGAGATGACGTCTATTCCAGTTTACCGGTCTCCAAAAGTTATAATAGACGAGTGTTGTCATCTGCCATTTTCATCCTTATAGCTAGTAATGTCAGTATACTAAAAAAAGTAGTATTTTGTTCAAGGCTTTGCTAATAGTTTTGAGAATTTTCAGAAATGAATGTAAGTACATACTTACAAGAACGTTAGATTAGTGCACACGTTTCTGTGAATTTCTTTTTATACTAATGTATTACAGGGGGGCAAGATAAGGATTAGACTAGGTTAAATTCAGTAAACACACAGTCTTACATCAAGCATTTCTTTGCAACGCCTACTTAAATAAAATGAAAAAAATAGAAAAAAAGAGCATGTTTGAAGTCGTAGTAAAAAGATGCTATTAGATACAGGGTCGTACTTTTTTAAATGTTGTGCACTTCGAGCATATTTAAAAACATCATCATGTAGTGCCATTAGTATTTTGACATTTCTTAAAATAAAGTCAGACAAAAATAAAATTGGCCTAATTTTAGTTTTTCACAAATACCTCAGTATATATGACTAATCTCTCAGTGTATGCAATGTGCAGATGCTGCTGCTAATTTCCACTTTGGAGACACTTGTCACCCACATCACAACGCTAAAACATCAAAGCACCACTGAGAGACAATCGAGAACCCTATAAGTGAACACCACTATTGAAAAAAATATCTTAACCGAATAGAGCTCTGCACGGAGCTGTGAACACGTGGACATTCCGCTGCGCCGACGGTTGCCGAGAGACTGAAGCGTGTGAGTGCTGTTCCTCGCTGCCGTGATACAGTACAACCGGGTAGTACGCCCCTTTCCAGCTCCCACTCCGCGCGTCTGCGTTTTCTTGTCTGACAGTAACTCGAAGCGACTCGATGCTTACGTTGACGGGAGCGTTTGCGCGGAGTGGGAGCTGGAAAGGGGCGTGGCTGTACTACCCGGCCGTACCGTATCGCCGCAGCGAGGTACAGCACTCACACGCATCAGTCTCTCGGCAACCGTCGGTGCAGCGGAATGCCTACGCGTACACAGCTCCGTGCAGAGCTCTTTTTTTTTTTTTTTTTTTTTTTATATCGAAACAGCCGCGCAGGCAGAAGCCTAAATGCCGGAACACCGCGGCTGCTATGATGATCCCAAAGAAATTTTGTTAATACGATTTTTGAACTGCCTAAGGTTAGTAGAACTGGGTAAAGCTTCCTCCCGTAGATTGTTCCCACAATCTAGACACCCTCGGAACAAAGGAGCGGTCGTATCGGCCAGTTCTGGATGTACGAAGTTTGACACGGTTGGGATGGGACGCCGAAGTCAGGCGGGTCTGTCTGGCAGGCACATCGCGCGGCGGCATCATGGAAGAGAGCTCTGAGGAGCAAAGCCCGTTGGTGTAGCGATAGAAAAGAGCTAGATCGCAGACGGCCCGCCGGTGCGAAAGAGTCCCGAGACTGTCTGTTAGAGAAGAGTCATCGATCAGTCGGACCGCCCTCCTCTGGACAGCATCGAGCATGGACAATGTAGTCGGGGCGGCAGCACCCCAAATGTGTGAGCAATACTCGAGGCTAGGCCTTATCTGGGCCTTGTATAGAGTGAGAAGGTCATGCGGAGAAAAGTACTTCTTAGCCCTAAACAAATAGCCTAGCTTTTTCCCAGCAGCTGCAGCTATTGAAGAGATGTGTTCGTGCCAGATCAGGTCCTCGGTGATCTGGACTCCGACCAGCCGAAATGAATGGCTCTTTGGTAGAACTCGACCGTCCATCGAAACTGTATGAGCGCTAGGACGCTTTTTGTTCGTCAAAGTACAGTACTGTGTTTTGGAAGCATTGAACTGTACAAGATTGTTGCGTCCCCAACCAGTGATAGCTTCCAGGTCTCTTGTCAGAGAAGAAGTCGTCGCTAGTCTTCTTTTTTCCAGCTCAGCGGCAGACATCGGCTTGTCACTCTGAATTCCTGCATGTAGAGTGCTGTCATCAGCGAAGCTGTGGATTGGATTGATCGTGCAGGAAAGGAGGTCGTTGATATGTAAGAGAAACAGTGTTGGAGCCAAGACCGATCCCTGGGGAACACCCGCGTTGACGTTGTGGGATGAAGAGGAGAATCCGTCAATTACGACGGATATCTTGCGGCCAGAGATAAAGTCAGCCACCCATCTGCAAAGCTTTTCTGGGAGGCCGTAGGATGGAAGTTTGCTTAAGAGGGCAGCGTGCCACAGCTGATCGAACGCTTTCGTGATGTCAAGAGCAACGACATGAGCCTCACCATGAGACTGGATGAGTTTACTCCACAGTTGCGTGACGTAAGCTAGGAGGTCCCCTGTGGATCGTTGGTGCCGGAAACCGTACTGCCTGTCGCTAATCAAGCTGTGACGTTCGAGGTAGTCTAGAAGCTCGCGATTTATGCACCTCTCCATCACTTTACTTATAACAGAAAGCAGAGCTATAGGCCTGTAGTTGTAAGGGTCGGTTTTAGATCCTTTTTTTGGGATGGGCTGTACATGAGCAAATTTCCAGTTTTCAGGGAAGGTGCCAGATTCATAAGATATCTGGAAGAGACGCGAAAGAACTGGAGCAAGCTCCGCTGCACATCTCTTCAGTACAATGGCAGGAATCAAGTCCGGACCAGAAGCTTTGTTGATGTCGAGCGACAAGAGCACTCGTCTTACGGTCTTATGCCTGAATGTTACCTTTCGCATAGTGTGGGGAACCATTTGAATTGACGGCACTTGGGCGTTGGTGGGGACGTCCATGGTGGAGTTGGCAGCAAAGATCTTGGCTAGCACTTCCGCCTTGGCCTTTGAGTCGAATACAATAGTTCCATCCTGACACGTAAGTGGTGGAAGGCTACTGTGTGAGAAGTTCTTTTCAATCTGCTTGGCCAGCGTCCAGAAAGACCGACTGCCATTGCGCTGCGACATTACCCTGTTCCTAACTTTTATATCATGCTGGTTTTTGGCATTGCGAACCGCTTCGTTATATTTGTTTCTGCAGGCGACGTCGGCTTGTCTGTTCTCTACAGTGGGGTTTTGTAAGTAGGTTCTGTGGGCCTTGATCTTCTGCTGGCGAGCAGTGTCACACGATTTGTTGAACCAGCCGTTGGGCCCTGGTTTAGGAACTTTCACTGTGTGAGGGATGTATTCCTCCATTCCGACGTGAATAATTTCGGTTATTGAAGAACAGACAGTCGACGCATCCGCGTCAGTGAAACAGACATCTCTCCAAGGAAAGCTAGAGAAGAAGTCTCTGAGCCCCTCCCAGTCGGCATGTCCGTAATGCCAAGTTTTGCGGCCTGTGCGAGTTTCTGCTGCCACAGCGGCTTCTGACCGAAACCTAACCTCCACAACACCGTGATCTGAGTTACCCAGGGGGGACAGGACAGCAGTGCTGTAAGGGGCAGGATGCGTGGTCAGAAAGAGATCCAGCAGGCTACTGGCGTGTGACGAGACGCGGGGGAAAAAAGTAGGGCTCGTCACCAGCTGGGTCAGCCCTTGAGTAAGAGCGAACGCTTCGACTGCACGACCTGCTGCATCGGTCTTATTTGAGCCCAACCAAAGCTCATTATGGGCATTGAAATCACCGAGAAGAACTACCTCTGAAGCGGGGTGATTGATGTTCAGGAAGTCGATCTGGATGGCGAGGTATTCGAGTAGGTCATCCCAGTTATGGTTCGAGGGAGAGCGATAAAGGCAGCAAATAAATTTGGGTGATGTTTTGGAGTTGAGGCGAAGCCACAGAATGTCCTTCCGGTCTGATTCCAAAGAAAGATCCCTGGAGCAGGAAAGACTGCTGCGGACAAAAGCCACAACTCCCCCGTTCTTTCTCAGATTGGAGTGCACCTCGTAGTTTGGGAAGTTGAGATGGTTAATCGGTGCAGTCTCTGAGATTTTTGTCTCCGCCAAGAAAAGCACGGCGGGACGATTGGATTGCAGGTAGTGATGAACAGCATCAATGTTGCTGTTGATCCCGCAGATGTTCGAAAAACAAATTTTATCTTCGATGTTGTTCCCTCGAGCCCACCCTCCACCCGGACATTCCGAGAGTGGAGTGAGATTACGTCCGGAGTTTTTAGTGCTCGAGGGATCCATCATCATTAATTTCTTTGTTTTGGTAGATAACCGACTGCATAGCTTAGGTGTGGAAACATGCGGACATTTATAAGACACCCTGGGAAAAGCTAGCGGGTGGTACTGCCTCGGTCGACTGGTCCTTGTCTACCACCTTCTTTTTACGTTTTAGTGATGTTAAATAGACCTAAAGTGGCCCGTTGGCGGACTTGTACCGCCACCCGGCAATCGGTACTGAGGTATTCCTTAACGCGTGCACAATCACTTGGACGGGAAGAAGTTGTATACTGGATACAACAACTTCCGGAACAAGCATTTGCCACGGCCCTCGCTCAGTAGGGCCGTGGCTATTCCGTTTAGCTACTTTTTTTAGTAGTGGTATTCACTCTGGGGTTCTCGATTGTTTCTCAGTGGTGCTTTAGTGCTGTGACGTGGGTGTCAAGTGTCTCCAAAGTGGAAATTAGGTCTACCTCCAACTCTTCTGATTTTAACAGGATATCTGTGCAGCAAACTAGGTGAGCCTTGCATACTCATCACTTGTGTGTTAGGGTTGACATCCTATGTTGTTTTAAATAAATGAGCATTTTAATAACGTTGTATAGTAGACGACAACGATATTGTATTCGTTTACATTTTTTGCCGGTAGTCATAAAACGGCTATAAGACAGAGAACCGGAGGCATGAGGACAGAGACGGATCTGAAAATTTTCAAACATTTTCTCTTGCATGTCTGGGTGAGATGAGAGAAGACTGAGAAGTAACGTTGATTGCTATTGTAATTAATTATCTAGACATTAGTTTTCAAACTATTAACCAAAATATACATATGTATCTGATAGTAGCGATGTCAAAGATGTAAAGTTACTTACCTAATTTGCTATGTTGAGGAGCCTTCTTCCAGAAACAAGATCATTCACCTAAATACATATTTCATTTCACTTTCATACTTCTTCTTTATTTAAAAATGTGATGCAAAACTCAATCCTTTTCTTCCGAAAAATATGTTCCCGAATACCGCTCTGCTGCATCGTGCTGGATTGAGCTGCGTACGGGGCTCGGGTGGGGGGGTTCATTTGCATTTTCCAAGCGGTGTGCAACGAATTCGAGAAACATTTCGCTAGGGATAGTCTTCTAGAGTCTAGAAGAGTATATTTTAGTAGTTCTCTTGCGTGGCCATGTTATCTTTACTCGGGCCAATGTACATGTGAGCAATGTATTTTTGGTAAACTTTGAGGACCAGCAATTGGACGAAAATGGCGACGTGAACCTACCTTTCTTTGAACACCTCTTTTTTGTGAGTGACACATCTCGAAATCTTCGTCTTTACGTTCTGTGGCACCGTTCCATGATTGAGCTGACATATGACGTTCGAACACGCGCTAGCTGTCAGGTGGTTGTCAATTCATATGTAAAAAAATCTATTTACAATTTACAAAATTTATCTAGGAATTTGAACAGAGAACTTACAAGACCTGGCCATGGTTCTAACGAAGGAATACCGAATATGTATGCCAATATCAGTCGAAGAGGTAACATTCCCGAAGGTTATATTTAGCACTTGTCATAATGAATACTATTTTAGTACAAAATAGGGCAACTTTACATGATTGCTAGACACAGTCTGGAGCAATCAGGAGACGGAGAAGGAGTAGAAGTTGTAGAAAATAAAGAATGCTTTGACGAAAAACATGGCAAAGGACAATTCACAGAAAAACGAATACACTTATCAAGGTGAGCTATCTGCTTTTCTCTAGACCATAACTATGTTTGATATTGGTTTGCCCGTCTCCACCCGACTAGACCTATGTCATACTGATGATTACCAGAACGCATAAACAATGATTGTAATGTAACTTTTCTCTAAGCTTGACCATTTCCAAGTTTCATGCAAAAATAGCCATTTTCAGTGCTTAAGAGCTCAGAATATTGTGGGGAACCTTCGAACTTTAATTTACATCATGTTATTGTCAGGAAACGATTTAAGCTAGGTTTTCATCTCATCAATTCAAAATTCAAGTCAAAAGTTGCTATATTTTGCATATTGATTCAACAACAAGTTAGAAAGTCAGTTAATTGATACTTGGTATATTGTGTATTTGATCAGCTTGAATTATTTCCATAACTACACATTATCTTTTTTTAAGCCGTCTGCCATACTGGGTTCAAGCATTCACACCAAAGATATTTTATGTGACAGAAAAAGCATGGAATTATTTCCCTTATACCACAACAGAATATACAGTGAGTTCTAGCATACCAGTTGTTCTATCTATTTTGTAATTTATGGTTATTTCTTATTTTAGTGCTCTTTCATTCCAAGATTCAATTTAACAATAGAAACCAAATATGAAAACAATAATGGGTGTACAGAAAATGTGAGTATATTGGTCTGATTTTTGTTAATTGTCTAGAACATTGAGTGTTTTTGATTCCCTACGGTCTCCATAAATATTGAACATGAGGAAATTTGAGTTTTTATAACTCTAACAGATCCTCTGTCATGTACTGCATAAGATAAAAGGTATCTCAATAAGCACTCAAGGATAAAACCAAAAATATGCTGTCAGAATGCAGAGGTATAGGAGTTATGTTTTATAAATAACATTTTACTGCCTCCTTGGGTGGTCCAACAGATGACCATTCTTTAATGAAATTTTTAATACTCTTGGCAAAATTTGTCTCAATTGACCAATAAATTGAGAAAATCCTTTGCTTCAGGTCCTTGTCTAGGTTTGATTAGACTTTATATTCAAAGAATACAATCAAAACTTGTCATGTAGGGTTTTTGAAATTTGCACGGCTTTTTCAATATTCTCAAAATTTTCAAAATTCAAAAATTTATTTTCAAAATAGTGTAAATTTTTATCATTACTAAAATTTTCAGTTATTTAAAAACCTTCAAATTTTCAGAATCATCAAGATTTTCAATTCATAAAAAGTTTTGATAGTCTCGAAAATATTGAAAATGTAGATTGTTCTAATTTTTTAAATTTTCGAAATTCTGAAAACCTGTGATAACTCTTACAGTCTACCATGAAATGGAACGTTCCCCCATGAGGTGTTACAGTTTGTTAAAATCCAAAAAGAGATCATCCTCCAAACAGCGCTCAATCCTCAACTAAAGTCCCCCACTAAAGTCCAATTGCTGCCAAGCTTAATTCCTGAAGTACATACGAGGGATGTTGTTTAAGTTTTGCATTATGGAAACAAAACAACATGGTAGGTAGTTTTAAATGACTTTTACGGGGTTGATTTTTCGAAGCTCGTGATGACTTTTGGCAAACAAATGATGGCATACCAATCTGCAGTAACAGTTCTTTGCCCATTAAGAGGAATTGTTGCAATATGAGACCCGCTTTTGACACAAATGTCGCGACCATCTTTTTCGAAACACTTCGAGAACAGATGACTTTTGTTGGCTTTTCTTCATCTTGGAACACCCACACAGCCGAATGTCGTTTATTTTCTGGTTCATAATAGTAAATCCACGATTCATCTCCACTAACAATGCTGTACACATTTTATGAGTTTCCGGAATTGAGCGTTTTTTGACACCAATTAACCCTGGCTGCTTTCTACTCTTCCGTCAACAGGTGGGGTATCCAACGAGAAACTAACTTTCTTACTCCTAATTCTTCATGTAAAATTTTTGAATTGAGGTCTTTGAGATCTTCAAGGACGCCTCAATCTCGCGATATGTCACATGTCTATCTTCAATTATGAGTTTGCGCACAGCATCGACGTTTTCCTGGGTGACTGCCGTTTTTGGTGCACCCACCCTGGGATCGACGCTAAGACTCACCCGTCCACGTTTGAATTCTCCATACCAACGGGAAATTGTCGACTGATGTGGCGCTTCGTTGCCGCAAACAGACAGTAACTCAGCAAGGCATCCTTGTTGCGATAATTGTCTCTGAAAGTTATAATAAATTATGGCGCGAAAATGTTCTCGGTTGAGTTACATTTTTTCTAATGACTTGGTGACACTTAAAAATTCACTGTAGTGAGAACACTGGACGTATTGTTGTGTAACTTTGAATTTAAGTTTACTAAAGAGTGAGGTTAAGATTCAGTACTGACGTTCGATCTGCGCGGCCTACTATGTTTCCATATGCAAAACTTAAAAGACATCCCTCGTATCAGAACACACCCTTTATAATTATCTGGAATATAATCAAATATTGGATCATGTTGTTATTTTTCTGTGAACGTAATTTCTGTACAAAGTAACTTTTACTTTTTTAGTGTTTAGAATTAACCCCTGACGAACTAGCATCTCGAATAGTTGATCATATTGATATAGGATATGATGAAGTCTCCCCCAAACATTATAAAGAGGAAGAGGATCCTAGGTTCTTCCAGTCAAAGAAAACTGGGCGTGGACCACTTGTTGACGGCTGGAGGACAAGCTTCAAGCCCATAATGTGTTCCTACAAATTAGTCCGAGCCTCTTTTGAGGTTTTTGGGCTGCAGACAAGAGTAGAAGAATTTATACATTCAGTAAGTAAACATTTATATCAATTTTCCATTTTACGTCAATTATATCTTAATAAATAATTTGACTATACAACTGAAAAAATTCTTGTTGCTCTCCCCACTCCTGATCGACAAGCGATACAGACGTTTTATTTTGCACTTGCTATTACCCGCGATTTCATATGCTTAAAACTATTACTGACATAAAACATTGTGTTATTAACAAGGCTATAAACATCCGATCACGTCTATCTTTTAATGCATTTAGTAAATTAACATCCAACTTGCATGCTTGGAAAATTTGGTTTCTTTATTATGGTGCCACCTTCACGTTCCGCGATTAAAACTGTGAGGCAGAAAGCTAGTAGACAATAAAAAAAAAATATGATAGAAACTGTTATTACTTTGCATGGGATTTGTGGTTTCAAAATATTAAATATGAAGATTTCAGATTTTAACGGTTGAAGGTGTGTGAATATTGCTAGGAACATCATTTTTCAGAGTAGATTCAGCACGTCAAAATACGAGAAGAAGGTATAAACATAAGTCTAGAGATACTTGTTCTCCATAATATATAGGGTAGTCAAAGTTGTCCATCTTTGATAGTTCACTTTATATTCATCAAAAAGAGATTCAGAGTCTCTGTTGTTAGTTACAAAACAGTACATCATTTCAAAAAAATGCCAGACTGATTCAACTTAAAAGACTGCCTCTTGAAAGATTTCGTTCAGATGCTCTGTTTTCAAAGTCAATATTATTAACCAGTGTATGATCAACTAGTTTATCATTTATTAAAATATAGGTCGCACTTTTTGTAACATTTATAAGGCAAAACTTGAAAGTGTTTACAAGCTTATGTGTGTACCTTTTCTATCTATACTGTCAAAGTATAATTTTTTGTCCTTATTTCAGTGCATTAGAGAAGTTCTGCTTCTAGGCCACAGGCAGGCGTTTGTCTGGATAGACGAATGGATAGATATGACACTTGAAGATGTCCGTGTATACGAGTCAAGTTTGCAACTGCAGACTAATTTCCTTCTCAAACAGCAGAAAGCCCAGGCGTCCGTAGAAAGTGATCCTTCCACTCCGCTGTCTCAAGCCACCCCTATCTCAACGCCTCCTACCAGCCCAAAGTCACCAGTGAAGAAAGGGTATTTTGGGTGGTTCTAAGGCTGCAAGTGCCGTGTAATTTGTCTTTCTGTTTTTGTATGAGTGTTGATTTTGTATTTATTTTTTGTTGCTAATATAATGATAACAATAAATGCGTTTTTTATTTATATGCGACGACTATGCGGCGAGTACCGAATTGATCAACTTGACGTTATTCTTCTTTCGCTTGAAAACTTGAATAATTTGACCTTGAGTGTCACACGGTTCATAGGTCAGGAGATACCGAATCAGTCTACTTGACGCTATTGTTCTTACGCTGGGGTATGTTTTTGGATACGTAAATAATGTGATCTTGAAGGTCCCAGACATCTAGTTGACGATATTTGTATTCCGTTCAAGGTTTTTGATTACCCAAATAATTTGGCCTTGAAGGTTTCATGGCCAAACGATCGAGAAGTACCAAATCGATCTACCTGACGCTATTGTTATTACGCTTGAACACTTAAATAATTTGACTTCGAAGGTCGCCTGACCAAAAGATCGAGAAGTACTGAATCGATCTACTAGCCGCTATTTCTCTTACCCTCATATGTATGTCCTTGAACACTCCAATAATTTGAGCTTGAAGATGTCATGGCTCAAAGGTCGACACCCGTATTACATAGCTTTAAAGTGACAATAGGTAGGTATATATTCTTTAATTCACCGGTTGATTCCATCACTGATGGATCTGGTGAACTTATGGTTGACAGCTGATGTGATGACGTCAGCAACCGGTTCCGTTGAATAGTCGTTAATAATAAGACGCATTTTTAGCCTTCAGGTTGCCGTCATATGAGAAAACCAGAAAACCTAACCTTTGTTTTATCGTAAATGGATACTTGTTAATTTGAACACCGTATCATTTAAAATCATTATGGCAATGTACGCAGCAGTTGGTATTTTTGTGGAACGTTTATTAAGCGATTCGACTGATGATTCGGATGAAAAAGTTATCCAGCGAAGGGAATTTGCGCTCCGAGAATCAATATAAGAACTATAAATAAAAAAACCAAGAAATTTTCAGATATCGACGATCTCAAATCAATACGAGGCATTGATTTGAGATCGTCGATGCTTCCCGAATAAGAACCATCGATATGAATTTTCTGAGAGAATTCCTGAATACATACAGGAATAAAAACAACAAAATGAGAAAATCGACATTTTCGGACTTACGAGGTATTGATTTGAGATCATCGATATGCATAATTCAAAACAAATTCACTTGCTTTCAGATACTCTGTTTATTTCGAATTGTGTTGAAAAAAAAACATTAAGTTTCACGCGACTCCTATGCTGTAGAATAACTTCAATCTTTTCTTCTTCCATTTTTCTCAGAAAACTGTAGTTGTCAAAAACTGATAAAATGTAGAGGTTAGAATATCGTGGATCAACCGAGCCCGAACGTCGGTGGATGCTGTTGGCACCGGTGGCATATCCACCATCAATATAAAGACAAGTTTGATGTACAACCGGTCGTTCCAGCGAAAATTAAAGGACGCAAAAATGGCTAACCGGTGGCAACGGTAGCTCAACCGGTGAATTAAAAAATATACCTATTGTACACTTTGGAACTAGCTGTCATTAACTGATGCGATGTAAGGTCTGCTTTAGAAGTGGGGCTAGTGGGATGCCACTTATAGCATCTATGATCTATGGCCTAGCCTGTATACTATTGCCGGCGTGACGATCGTTGTGCTATTCCTTCATAGATGGCGCTCATAGCGAACGTGCGGCACGGGTATCATGTAAAAAACCTATAAAACGTAAAAAAAACCTATAAGTTGTCAACTTCTAGACTAGGTAGTTTTTAGGGCGCAAACAGTCATTCCACGTTTGCTCACTAGGATCGTTGTGAACGTCCATCTATGGAGAAATCATTCAACTAAACTACGTATTATTGGTTGCATAGTTTTGTGAGGCCAAATGGTCCTTGTTTTTATCTCTGAGAAGAAAGTTGGTTGAATAGCAAGGTCGCATCTGGATGATTATGTGTATTGGTCTGCATGTGTATAAAATCAGTAATATTTGCTGTGTGAGAAAATCATTACTGAATATGCCGAATACTACGGGTTATTTATATGTTGTGCTTTCTGAAGAGAGGTTATGTTCAAATTTATAATTTACGAAAAACAGGAGAATTACGGGAAATCATCACCGCGCCCGCGTTGTTTGTACCTAATTACTGTTAGCATGTATAAGGTTTGTAATTCGACAGTGTACAGTGAATATAATTATTTCATATCTCTCTCATTTTTGAAATTCAGAAACTAATTTCTAGCTTTGAATCTCAATTAAGCATATTTGAGACAAGAGCCCAATGTAATTATCATCAACACATACAACTTACAGCTTAAACCTCCAGTAATGCCATCTCAGAAGCAGATTTTACATCACATCAGAGCCAAAGATTGATAACAAGCCTCATGATGACGATTAGGCAACACGTACAACTAAGTGCTAAGTTAATATCTTGTAGAAAAACCTACATAATGTTAAAAAAACAGCGTAGTGTCAAAAAAAAATCGGCAAAATGTCACTTTTCAAGATACGCGATACCCGTACCGAAGCCATTTTCATTTAAATATATCTAGTTCCCCTACTGTCTCAGAAGGAGAATATTGTTTTTCACGGCACACTAGGTGTATAATCAACATCAACATATTTCTCCCTTCTGCATGTGGAAATTTTCAGACTGGAAAAAGGTCGTTCGTTTGATTGTAGGTTCCGGTTACCGCGATCACTGTGTCAACTAAAATTATTTACCCTACCGCCACTGTACCCGATGTTTTAGAAAGTCTTGACAATATTTCCAAAGTAGAAAGTACAATACATCCAAAAATAACAAGACGTCAATGATTTTACATCACATCAGAGCCAAAGATTGATTACAAGCCATGATGACGTTTAGGCAACACGTACAACTAAGTGCTATCTTAATATCCTGTAGAAAAACCTACATAATGTAAAAAACAGCATAAAATGTAAAAAAATCAGCATAATGTCACTTTTCAAGGTACGTGATACCCGTGCCGAATGGGTTGATGGCGACTACTTAGTACACAAGTAATGACATTATATCGATTTTTTCGTAATACCTTTGCGGGAATAAGTATCGAGTCGACCTACCTGACAGTATCTTCGCCGGTTAAGCTCAACATGTCACAGGTAAGTATCTAATCTGTAAGCTTCAACGGGTCTTTCTCTTTCATCTCACCTTCGCTGAGCCTATCAGGCGAATCACAATCCAGCGCTAACGCTATTTTGAATGAAATTTGATTTTTATCACTCGTGGCGATGCGCGACGGCCCAAATTGAGATTGATGTTTTTTTTTCATTAGCGAAGATAAGGCGAAATTTGGAGGGAATAAATCCGCGGCACTTGCTTAAGGTGACTGCGTTCTTTCTATATACGGTATGTGTACTTCATGAAAATGTTCAACCAACTGTAGTTTTCGAATTATTCATTTTTGAATTTAGGATAACTTCCAATTGAAAAGTTTATGATGATTCGCGTAATTTCTGACGATATTAGCCATCCTCGATGCTGTTCCGAGGAGGGCTGTCCGATCACTCTTCTAATGGACAGCCTCGGGGTCATTTAGCACGGTGATCTAGCACTCGTATACCGCAATGTCAACAGGCTTTGCTCCTCAGAGCTTTCGTCTACGATGCCGCTGCGCGTAGTGCCTGCCAGCCAGACACGCCTAACTTCGGTCTCCCATTCTACCTGTGCTAAACTTCCTACATAAAATTCCACTAACCTTAAGCTGTGTAAAAATGAGATTAACAAAGTTTCTTTAAGTCCTTCACAGCAGCAGAGGTGTTTCGATATAAAAAAACTTCTCCCATCCTTTCCTTTTTCATCTTCATATTTTTTATATCTTATTTTGTAGTCTAGGTTAATGAAGTGCTGGGTTATATTTTACTTAATTTTAACGTTTGTGTAGGTGCTATTTTAATTGCTCCTCTTCAGTTAGTCATCTTATCATAATGGTGAATTATTCAAATGCAGAAATAGTATGGCCTTGCCGACGGTAATGGTGAGCAAGCCAGACGGATTTATCACCAGAGATATCCCGATCGTGCTTTGCCATATAGTCGAACCTTTTCTAATATTCATCGTCGTCTTGTTGAAACTGGTTCTGTCCGAAAAGGAACATCTGAAGGTAGACCTCTAAGTGTGAGAACACCTGAAATTGAGGAAGCAGTGCTGCACGAAGTCGAAGAACATCCTGAAACGATTACGAGGAAGATCGCTAGACACTTAAATATTTCTCATCAAATTGTTTGGAGAATTTTAGTGAACTCTTTGTTATATCCTTAGCATATTTTAAGAGTACAGGCATTACTTCCCATTGATTTTCCAAGGTGTGGGATCTTTTGTCAGTGGTATCTTCAAAAAATTACACAAAATCCGCAATTTGAATCAATGATTATGTTCACGGCCGAAGCTATGTTTTCTAGAAATGCCATTCGGAGTTTCCATAATAATCATTTGTGGGCAGAAGAAAATCCCTATGCCGAAACCGAAACCCATTTCCAACACCAATATTCCGTTAACATATGGGCAGGAATTATTGGCAACCACTTTATTGGCCCATTCTTCTTGCCGGAACGACTTGACGGACAGACTTACCTCAATTTTCTTCAACAACAGTTGCCTTTGCTGCTTGATGATGTTCCGTTAGTATTAAGAAACAATCGCGGTGGGCCCCAAGAATGACCACCAAGGTTCCCAAACCTCAACAGTTTAGATTTCTTTTTGTGGGGCTATCTTAAGACACTAGTGTACAAAAGTCCCATTAACACTGTAGAGGAATTGAGAGAAAGAATAGTTGCAGCTTGTGATAGAATAAAAAACACTCCAGGGCGTGCGCAATTCCATGAGAAGGAGGGCGGAAGCATGCATACAAAGTGAAGGGGGCCATCTTCAACAATTTTTGTAATCATTTCGTTGGTTTTAATGTTGTGTTTATGTTGTCAGTTATTGTTGTTCATTACACCTAATGTGTTTAATTTTTTCAATTGAATTAATAATTATTTTGCAAGTTAGACAATAGAACGGTTTTTATTTTTTTACTCAAAAATGACGCATAGAAGGAAAACA